TTTGTCTTAAATGATTATCTGCCCACTAACCTTTTTCACTACTAGAGAGATTTAATCTAGTAAATATTCGAGTAAAATGACATTTTTACTCTACGGATCTCAGCAACCTAAATTGTCATTTGTGACTTCATCTTTCATGTCACTGGTAGTTACAAAGATTTGTAAAATGACAGCTAAAAATATTAATGTGGCAACCCTACTCAAATGCCAGTACAATTCCCTCCTTTGCCTTCAACTTGCTGGGGTAGCAGATCATACCTGATTGATTTGCCATGGTACATTTCTTGACCTTAATACGTATTACATAAGCACTGGAAGTAAGCACTGGAAGGACATCTTCATGTATTTAATTACTCTAATGAACAAATTGTTGAGAAAATACTTGTACTCACTGTTACTAGGTGGCAAAAAAAGTCCATTTATATTACGAGGTTTGCTGTGATGGAAGGCACAGCTGATCCTCACACAACCTAAGGGTTGTGTTTCCCAGAAACAGGAGACGTTGCTGTACTTTTGCTGCAGAAGAAAACAGTTTTCAGATATTGTGACAATAAAAATGGACTAAATGCATTAGTACACAGTGTACTGCATATGACTAAGATTTTGTGGGATGATGTTCTGATATTTTAGAAAATTTAAAGTTATCTCAAGCTTCAGATAGCTCTAACGGTATCTTGAGTTAGGTCAAAGGAGCTTTTATGATGTAAAACTCTTCCTAGATAAGAATGGAAGGAAAGGAGTCTACTTACTGTATTGCAGGCTTTTCATGAGATGCTGGGAAGAAAAAAAATCTGTTAGTCACTTAGCTGACATGTGGCTGAGTTTCCTTTTCTGCACAATGGGATAATCAGGTCGATCTCAAAATCAGCTGTACAAGTACAAAGTTTACACTAGTACTCTCTTACTATTAAAGGACATTGGTCTATGGGAAAATAAGGAGTAAGAAACAAAACCCAGAAAGATTCCTAACTGAAACTGAAAAACTTTTAATCCTTTTACAGACATGTCAGACTTGGATTTCAAAATAAGGAAAAAAATCTTTTGTTACAATTCCCACCGGAAACATCAGCTCAGCTAGAAGAAAGTCACTTTTGTTTTCAGACTAAAATATGTGCTTGAAGGGACTTGCTCCTTTCTACCTTTATTTCCATATCTCTAAATCTGCAAAACAGATGTGAACATCTCCCCTGGCTCCATAATGAGCGTACAGTATCGCAGCCAAGAGGTTTATGCAAAGTGACAGAATCCGCAGCTGGAACCCTCATCAGGAAAATGACTTTGTGGGTAAGTCACGCTGGATTGCCATACCCTAGTGGTAGCCTTAAATGTGAATGTCCTCTTTTAAAACTTTTTGGTTTTAATTAATGGGGGAGATGTTACATCAGCCCATGTATAACAGTATTATGGTGACAAATATAAACCCAGGTTTAAATCCTGGATATGACCTACATCCCAGCTGAGAGCTGTAAATGCCAGGTTGCTGATTATTTCTTAATGAGTTTCTGTGTGGTTTATTATAGGAAAACAAAGTCACACTTGAAAATATTTGAATATTTGAAGGCAAGTTTCACCCAGTTCCAGACATGAACAGCTGGGTCTAGGAACAGCTTCTCCAAAACACACCACTTTTGGACTGTAGCCAGTACAACTGGGCCATGTCTTGAGCCAAAGCCTGTCTCCCCCCAGGCACTAACACCTCAGTCCCCAGGGATGAAACGGATACAATAACAAGAAGCGCTACACACACCCCTGGATTTTTACCAGCTACATATAAATACTTCTTTGGAGGACAAACCCATTTTGAAGGTCTTTGTTTTAAATAACTGATTTTGCAGAAATTCAGGTAGTTGCTATAAGCAGAAATTATAAACGTGGCCTATTTATTCAGAATCAATATAATGTTCATTCAACAAGAACGTGATAAGTGATCTTTATGCACGATTTTTAACTTATGTGTTCCTTGAGTGTCTGAGCCCAGTTCACAGGATAAATTGTCCATAGTTTAGATGATCATTAGCTCTTCTCATAACTTCCGAAAATCAGTTATTTGATCTGCAGATGTGGCCATGACCCAGACAGAATGACATATTGGCTTCTAATTTTACATAATAAACCTCCCTTTCAGCATAGATATATCAAGAAAATCAAGGATACACACCACTGTAAAGTCTACAGTATTTACCTGTGCGTAGGGGGAGCAAAAATAGAAATCGTGGTCATTCCCAGCTGCAGCCATTTTTACTTCTTGTGCTTCTCCTCTATCAATACTGGCAGAACATAGATGAAAACGTTAAAGCTATCAACAGTAAGGCAAATAGTAATCTTATCCTGAAAGCAGTAGTTTTCTTTCAAAAACTGGATCTACAGAACCTTAGGTCTGCTTCTTTTTTGAAACAAAACTCCAACTGATAGTAAAATACACTTCAACGACGGAGCTGGTACCTTCTCCAGGCTTGTTGAACTGACGATGGCAGTTGATAGCCAGTATAGAACGTTACCTTTCAACGGTTGCTAACTGCTCCTCCAGCTCGTGACGTTGGCTTGATGGTGCTATGTGACCAGTCCAGCTCGAACACCTTCCTTTATCTCCATGCTCCATTGCAAAGTACTTAAAATCGGACTGTTTCAGAGAGTCTCCTATTCCAGTGTTTCTTTAACATAAAATAGAACGAACCCATTTGGCGGGGCTTAAATACTACCCAATTTCTTGCCGCAGGAACTCTGGTCTTAGAAACAAATCTTTGATACCACAGAGACAAATTAGACTAAAACATAACAGGAAGTGCAGAAATGAAAAGGAGCCACGACCTCAAAAGAGAAGGATGCCATTGCTTAAAGCGTAGTAAGGATACAGATGAAGCCAAAGAGAAGGGAGGTAGATACAAGGCAGAATTCAAGAAAGAGGACTAGTGGTTCATAGCACCACCAGAAGTGCATGTGACTAGTGGTTCCCTGGTAAAAAAAAAAAAAAAACAAACAGACCAAAACCCACCACCACTGCACTGGATGGACTAATCACCAGAGCACACCATTGGTCTGCCAGTGGGAAGGGTGACAGACGTGTAAATGAAAAGCAAGTGTCAGTGACTCCATGGGCACAAATGGTACAAGGCTGGCTCTGCAGAGGTTACACCCAAGATGGGGAAGAAGTATGAAGCCATTGAAACAACTGGAAGTCTTCCAGTCTCTGTAGGAGCCTATCAATTTGTTTGTAACTCGAGTATCAGCAGATGGCCCGAAGACTAACTACAAAGGAAAATACCACACGCCGGACCACCAGGACTTTGACACTGGAATAAATTGATTTCTACAGGAATAAAGTACAGAATGAAACTGCTCACTAGGATCAAGGTGGGAAGTACTGGCGAGACCTGCGAAACAATTTGAAAAGGCTTCCACAGTTCCGTAAGCCCTACAACTGATGGAGGCACATAGGGGAAGGAAAACTCAGAAAAGCGGGTGAGGGCCATGGATAATGAACTGTCAGAGGGCAGCAGCAGCCACGGGAAGAAAGTGTTAACACTGCCAAAAACTATCCAAATAGGGGCTCTTTGTGGCTATATAGCTGTGCCTAAACGAGGCACAGAAGAAGGTACGATCAGGAAGAATTAATTCTGTATTGGGTTTGCATGGCAAGGTTTTGGCAGTGGGGGGGTGGGGGGCTACAGGAATGGCTTCTGTGAGAAACTGCTAGAAGCTGCCCATGTCCAACAGTGCCAATGCCAGACAGCTCTAAGATGGACCCGATGCTGGCCAAGGCTGAGCCCATCACTGACAGTGGTAGGGTCTCTGTGATAACATATTTAAGAAGGGGAAAAAAATGCCGGGCAACAGCAGCTGTGGAGAGAAGTGTGAATATGTGAGAGAAACACTCCTGCAGACACCAAGGTCAGTGAAGAGGGAAGAGGGAGGAAGTGCTCCAGGCACCGAAGCTGAGATTCCCCTGCAGCTTGTGGTGAAGACCATGGTGAGGCAGGCTGTTCTGCAGCCCATGGAGGTCCACGGCAGAGCAGAAATCCACTTACAGCCCATGGAGGACCCCACGCCAGAGCAGGTGGCTGCCCGAAGGAGGCTGTGACCTCGTGGAGAGCCTGCACAGGAGCAGCCTTCTGCAGGACCTATGGACCCATGGAGAGAGGAGCCCATGCTGGAGCAGGTTTGCTGGCAGGACTTGTGATCCTGCAGGGGACCCAGACTTTGAGCAGTCTGTTCCTGAAGGACTGCACTCCATGGAAGGGACCCACGCTGGAGCAGCTTGTGAAGAACTGCAGCTCAGGGGACAGACTTACGCTGGAGAAATTCAGAGGGGACTGTCTCCTGTGGGTGGGTCTCCACATTGGAGCTGGGGGAGAGTGAGGAGGAAGGAGCAGCGGGCACAATGTGTGATGAACTGACTGAAACCCCATTCCCTGTCCCCCTGCACCACTCAGGGGGAGGAGACAAGAGGAAAATCCGGAGTGAAGTTGAGCCCGGGAAGGAGGGGTGGGGGGAAAAGTGTTTTAAGATTTAGGGTTTATTTCTCATTACCGTACTCTGATTTGATTGGTAATAAATTAAATTAATTTCCCCAAGTCGAGTCTGTTTTGCCTGTGACGATAATTGCTGAGTGATCTCCCTATCCTTATCTCGACCCATGAGACTGTCCCTGTATTTTCTCTCCCCTGTCCAGCTGACGAGGGCAGTGACAGGACGGCTTTGGTGGGCACCTGGCCGGGGTCAACCCACCACAGCCATTGCCAGGCTGTGCCCCGAGGCAGACAGCCTGGGTAACAACAGGCGGCGGCTGTCCCGACGGAGGCAAAATCAGTTACAGAGATGTCCCCACACCCTGGGGACAGGGCAGCCGTGTCCCAGGCCCGGGCGTGTGGCTCTCC